CTCCAAAGATCACATGTTGTATAATTCCATTTCTGTAAAATCCTTAAAATAATTAAATAACAGAGGAGAAAACTTAGTGGTTTCAAGGCTAATGGGATAGTTGAGGGGAGAGAAGTGGGTATAAAAGAATAACATGAGCAGGATCTTTGTGGTGATAAAATAGTTCTGTATCTTGATTGCAGTAGTGTTTGCAGAAATCTACCCATGATAAAATGGTATAAAGTTTATACACACACTGTATTACTGCCAATTTCCTGGTTTTGATATTGTACTATAGTTACATAAAAGGCAGTCATCAGGAGAAACTGGGTGCAGGGTACACAAGACCTCTCCATACCATCTTTGAAACTACCTGTGAATCTCTAAGTATTTTAAGATAAAAATTAAGAGGGGGAAAAAGAATTGCTTCTTTATTGAGAACAGACTCAGAGACAAGGACAGAAGCAGAAAGGCCAAGTAGAAGGTGACTGCAACCAGGTAAGAGATGATGGCAGCTGAAGCAAGAATGTTAGCAGTGAAGAAGTTGAAGAAACAGCTGAATTTTACACATACTGTAAAAGTAAACAGACAACATTTACTGATGATTTGGATATAGGTAAATGAAAGAGAGGATGCGAGGCCAACTGGAAGGATTCTGGCCTGAGCATGCAGAGTTTCTAATAACTGGGATAGGGACAATTACAGAAAGAAAAGAGTAGACGCAGAGTGAGGACAGGAGTTTGGATTTAGACATCTTAAGTTTGAGATGCCTATTAGACATCCACGTGGACATACTGAGGAGGTATTTTGATATTTGGGTCTGAGTTCAGGGGCTGGTAGTCTGGGGTGGAAGTAAAAATTTGGGACAATCTTCAGTATACAAAAGGTATTTCAAGACAACAAACTACATGACATCCCCTGAAGAGTCAATGTCAGTAAAGAGAAAAGGTCTGAGGGATGAACCCTGGGACACTTTAACATTTAGGAGTCAGGAAGATGAGGAATAACAAACAAAGACAACTGAAGAGACAGCAGTAGAGAAGAACCGAGAGAAAGTGATGACCTGGAGGTCAAATGAAAAGTAGTATTTCATGTCAGAAAAAGTAGCAATACCAAACGCTGTTGAGGATACACAGCAACAAGAACTTTCCTGCACTGCTGGTGGGGGTGTAAATTGGTATACATAACAATTTACTAGGTCATTTACTAGCCTTCAGTAACTCCTAGACATGTACCTCAGGAGACATGCATAAGAATGCTCATGGCAATACCATGAGTGGTCATGAAAAACTGAAGAACCTAAATGTCCTATAAAAGTAGAATGAGTAAGTTATAGTATATTCATAACAGATACTATATAACTATTGAAATGAACCAACGAGAGCTGTATGCAGCAACATGAATTAATCCCAAACAATGATAGACAGAAAGAAGCTAGTCTCAAAAGATTAAACTCAGTTCAATTCCATTTCTAGAAAGTTCCAAGCAAAATCAAATTATTTAGGAAAGCATACAAAGGTTGAAAAGCTAAAAAGAAAATCTAGGAAATGGTTATCAAAGCAGGAAGTTCATGGGGATGGATAAATGAATGGCTTCTGAGGAGCTGACAAAGTTCTGTTTCTTAACCATGGTGGTTGATTATATGGATTTTTTAAAGCATATATTTTTTATACTAAATATGGAAGAAAAAAGTGCTCATCTGTGTCCAATGTTGCTGAAAAGTTGGCGAAGATAAGGACTGAAAACCGACCACTGAACGCAATAACGTGAAGGTCAAGAGATACCTGGGGAGAGGGGTGAGGAAGAAAGCCTGATTAGAACAAGTTCAAAGAGAACAGAAAGTAAGGAAAAGGAAAAAGAAGAAAAAGGCCGCTCTTTCCAAAAGTAATGCTTATAAACGCAAGCAAAGAAACAGCACTCTGTTAGGGGAGCTATAGCATCTAGGGAGAGTTTGCTTCAGTTTTGTCTTTCAGATGGGAGATATTACATCAGGTTTTTATGCTGATGAAAATGATTCAGCAGACAGGGTAGAACTGATGCTGGTGAGAGAAGAGATAATTGCTGGAATAATGTCCATTGGTAGGCAAGAGGAAATGTGATGTAGTGCAGCGGTCCCCAATCTTGGGACTGGTTTCGGGGAAGAGTTTTTCCATGGACGGAGAGGGGGTGAAGGGGTAGAACATTGTTGCCTCTGCTCCACCTCAGATTATCAGGTGCTGGATTATAATGTGGAGTGCGCAACCTGGATCTCTCGCATGTGCAGTTTGCTGTAAGGTTCGCGCTCCTATTAGGGTCTGATGCCACCTCTGATCTGATGGGGGACGGGGCTCAGGCAGTAAGTGATACGAGTGATGAGGAGCAGGTGTTGGTACAGTGGGGCTTAGCTCCCTTGCCAGCCACTGGCCTCCTGCTGTGCGGTTCTGTTCCCGGCAGGCCGTGGACCAGTGCCAGTCTGCAGCCTGGGGTTTGGGGACTGCAGATGTAGTGCATAGTAGAAAGGTTGGTCTTCACATAAGAGGCTGTATGTTTCTCCATAGGCAATGGAGGGAAAAGCAAAGCATATAAGTAAATGCAGTGAGGCTGGTAGACAGAGTAGTTAGAACATGCAGAAGTTATCTCCTATTACTATTTATCTGAGAAGATAAATAGAAGCAAACAAGGTCATCAGATGAGAATAAGATGGTAGAGTAGGAGATATGAGAAGATGTGGAACAGTTATCTAGGAAAAGTAGGGAAGTATTGAACTTATAGGAGGATTGCCAGACAACACAAATCCCTGTTAGGTTAGTGTCATAGACTTACAAGGGGAACAGTCAAGACAGCTGTATGTTTTTTCCCCAGCCATGTTCACCAACCTGGGACAGGCACAGAGTAGATAGAGAGATACATTTCAACCAGTTAGAATTTTGCCAGAAACAGAGAATGGAGGAAGTGAAGGCAGGGAGTGATCACGACGGACAACAGGCAAGGTAAAGACAGAACAGAGAATATGAGAAGAATGGGGGACTAAGGAAGGGCCAACACAATAAAGGGTGAGGTTCAAGAATTGAAATGAGGGTACTAAACACGGTGATGACAAGAGGAGACTGGAAAATGGGATTCTTGAAAACATGACTGTGGAAAGGGTACAGGTACAGTTATTAATGAAGGCAAGATGTAGGGTGTATCCATAAAATGAGTAACTAAGGTAATGTAGAAGATAAAATATTTATGGGAGAAGTAGTCAAGGAATTGAGACATCCAAGTTTTGGAAAAATTCATCTGAATGCATACTGAAAACACCAAGAATTACAGGAATAAAATTTAAGTGTGAACATCAGGAAGCTAAGTACAAACAGCATGAAAGCATGAGGGAGATTCATATTATAGTCAAGGCACAAAATGGTAAAGTAACTTGCCCAGGTCATGCGGCTAGTAACTGATACGTCTAGAACACTGGCAGTCTGGTTCTACTTTATGCTATCAATTGAAAACTAGCAGTTCTCATACTTTCGAGAAAGATCTTGAAGTTTAAAAAAAAAAAAAAAAAAAACTTAAGTAAGTGTATCTGCTGTTATATGACTACCTAAAGGAAAAAATACAAAATTGAAAGAGTGACTATGAACTCAGTGTTTGAAATAAAATTTTCTGTTACTAGACACAAGAATTTACATATATTTGAAATTTTTATTCAATTATTCAATTCAGAGGCAATGCTTAATGTCACATGGATATGTAAATTCCTTTCAATAATTGCTTCACCACTGAGTGAACATGCTCTGGAAGAAAATAGCTTTCATGCCACAAATTTTATTGAGCACTACTTTATAATAATGATAGGGCAGAATCCGGAGTATTCTTTCCCCTGAGGAATTTACAGTGTGATGCAGTGATTTTCAAACTAAGAACCACTTTACACTCCTAAAAAGTTACTGAGAACCCAAAGAGCTTTGCTTTGTTGGAAATATCCATCAATATTTAGCATATTAGAAATTAAAACAAAATTTTTTAAACACAAGAATACACAAGAAAACAGTCCACTAGTCATCAAAGCAATGATGTCATCACATGTCATATGCAGCCTCTGGAAAACTGTTCACTCGTAAAACAAAAAGTGGAAAGGATTGGGCGCAGTAGCTCACACCTGTAATCCTAGCATTCTGGCATTCTGCTAAATAAATAGATTGGGCAACTGTACTATATTTGTCATATAAAAATTATAAGTAGAATAATTTCAATTGTTGGAGGTGAGCTGCATCCCAGGTAAAGAGTATCTGGTGTTAAATATCCCACCTTCTAATATAACAGGAGAGGAAGGGGATGGGGGGGAACGAAATGTTTTTTGTGGCATAGTAAGAAAAGTAAGTGGATTCACGTTTAAGCATCCATTGTATCCTAAGCACGAAGGCATTAAAAAAAAAAATACCTAGCAATAGCCAATAAAGAAAGAAAGAGGGTAATTTCCTTACTGAGAGATATGAACTAATTGCTCAAGGCCTAAAATTAGTAAGTAGTAGAGCTATGATTAGAACGCAGGTCACACTGACCCCAAAATTTACACTCTTTCTGCTGAAAGTCTGAGTTGAGACAGGTTAGTACAAATGAAAGATGGTCCTGAATTTTCCAATGTTTTTCTCTTTCTCTGTATTTTGCTCTTTCTTTCTCAGTTACATAACATTTCCAAGCATGAGAAAGATCATCAAACTGATAAGTGGCAGCGATAATGTCTCCTCCTAGCTTATGGTTTATCTCTTCTCCTCACACCAGGGATTCTCACAGTATGATCTCTTAAGTCCTTGCAGTAATGGGATTTGGCCAACATAGCCAAATGAGTTGGTCACTAATAAAAATAAATGACAGCAAAGTGATGTCACTAATGGGGACAGATGAGAAGAAAGTCAGGAAGAAAAGCAATAAACTTTCTCATATATGACTTGGATAAACAATTACTGAGTTCTCTTAGCAATAAAAAGGGATGCATCCCATGACTATCTCCACCACTGCCAACCCCCAACCCTAATAAAAAAAACTTATACACTCACCTTCTTTATCAGAAACTGACCAGGAATACTTCTGAAAAGGCTTACTAGATGGAAGGGGGTCCATCTCCAGCACTTTATAAATCTGGCCAAAAGCTGACAGTCTGAGTGCATGCTGAAGAACAAAACATTATATTTAATAAAATTCAATAACTATTCATAAAGCTCTTAGGACATCTAACTAAAAAGACATTCATTAAATGCTGGTATTAAGACAGCATAAGTCCCTAACAACATGCAAGAAAAAAGTGTTAAAAACAGAAAATAAGGTTAAGATAATGAATCATGGTGATATGCTCAGTCTTCTACCTGTGCACTGTGAGTAATATCTTCTTTTTGCTGGATGGTCATATAGCTCAGAGCATCTGTTGGGTCTCGCTCACAAGGATCATGAAGACCAGGACCCCCTTTGGCAAAGGCAAAACACAAAACTATCATTTAGAACTGAGTTTAGAATTCAGTAAACTGACACAAAAGAGAGAGAACAAAAAGAAAAATAACTGAGGAACTAAGTTAAAAGTCTGATCAATTAAGTGAAATAAAAAGGACACTCTCGTTTTCAATATGTTAGCACTTACATATCCTTATTTTACACTGGAAGTCACTTATATATCTAAGATCAAAATTGGGTCTTACTCTGAGAATTCAGAAATAGCATGATGAATCATCCCAAGTCTTAAAGGGGATTACATATAGATAATAAGAACAAATTTAATTTTTTCAAATTTAAAACCAGACTACAAACAGAATGAACTTCATACATTTTAACCAAACATCTGCAATTTGAAATTCAGAGTTCAAGGTAAAGCAAATTCATGGCAGATACAATATCTTATTAGTACTATTTATGTTAGCACACATAAAATACAAATTATAATTACTGAAAAAGAGTTTCATAGCACTTTTCCAATATTCAAACATTCTAGTTGCTAAAATTCAAGCAAAATAACTCCTATGCATCATTTTCCTATGCAGAGGACAGATTTAGCATATATTTAGAAAAATAAAATAAAATGAGATTTTACTGATTCTTCTGCCTCCAGAGTTAAGAGAAACCCTTACCAGGAAGTAGTATTCCAGATGCCAAACACTCCATTACTCTTCTCAAGGCCTCCCCAGCGCCCAAAGGTCTATTACAAGTACCTATAGACTTTTCACATATAAGTTCTAGTGGCTAGAAAATATTAAATTACAAATTAGTACACACACCAAATGTTAAAAGGATTCCAGTTAAACGTGAACTAACATTTCTATCTAACAAGGGAGGCCAAAAAGTGAAAAGTCAATTTAAGATTTAAGGCCCACTTAACTTTTTCCCCATGATTACCAGCTTCTACCCAGGCAAGAGTTTTTGTGTTTTGTTTTATGGTTTTTTCCTCTTTTCTTTTCCTTTTCTGTCCAGCCTCAGAAAGATAAAGTACTTAAATTGAGCATTTTTGAGAGAATATTTTCAAAGGACATTTTTGTAACAAAAACTTTATTTTCAGTTACCCAGAAAAGATCACTAAAGAAACTATAGTGATCTAATTCATTTAACAAAGACCTTAGCCTTCATATAAGTTAGTAAAAGCTAATAACTAGACAATGTACAAATCTAGCCCACCTATCTCCCACTTAACTTAGAAAGCACGCAAACCACAAATATCTCAATATAAGAATAAGACTTCATTTCAGACAGCCTGTCCCAAATACTTACTACTACAATCAGAATAAACGAAGGACCAAATCTTCGTATTTAATAAACCAAAAATTCATACTATATCAAAGTAATAATTGCTAGATTCATTTATAAAATGGACCTTCACAGCTTTATTTAAATTGTTTTATAAGGCTCTTAAGTTGTAGTCTCAATTCAGTCAGGCATAATCATTTCCTGATTAAGTCAATTTTACAATATATGTTGTAGATTATGTCCATAACTGCATCAAGTATACTGTTTGCCTGACCTTAATTACTAACATGAATTTATCTTTAAGTGTCTCCACTCAAACAGAAAGTTATAGAAGGTACAGGATTCATATATTGGCCTATCAGGTAATTTCCACTGTAATGTAAGGAGATACTGAAAGAGAAATGGGTCAGCCAAGGAGGCTTCTGTGGACAGCAGATGAACAGTTAAGTGATCAACCATCAGTGCAGAGTCAAGTGCAGGAAGACACTCACTTCCAAAAGGTATAATGAAAACCTTTTGTCAGGGAAAAGAAAAAAAAAAACCCTAAGGTTCTGTTAACATGAATATGATGAGACAGAAGGGACAGATTATATGCATAAAGGAAGAATCTGTGGTAGCTCTCGCCTATAATCCTAGCACTTTGGAAGCCGAGGCAGGAGGATAGCTTGAGGCCAGGAGTTCAAGACCAGCCTGAGCAACATAGCAAGATCCTGTCACTACAATAAATTTAAAAAATTAGCCCTGTGTGGTGGTGCATGTCTGTAGTCCTAGCTACTCAGGAGGCTGAGCCAAGGAGTTTGAGGCTGCAGTGAGCTAAGATAGCACTACTACACTCTAGCCTAGGGGCAACAAGCAAGACCCTGTCTCAAAAAAAAAAAAAAAAAAAATCCATATAAAAACATGCTTAATTCTTTTTTCCAGGGCAAAAATAGATAATATATGCCTTACCAAACTCAGAAGATAGCCATTTTACAGTAACACTTCATTTCTATAAGATTTCCTGTGCTACAGCTTCTGAATTTGCTTTTAGCCATATTTTAAGTACTTACCCATCCTTTTAATGGTGCCCATGTAGGGACTCTGTTGCACAAATCACGCAGAATGCGGAGGACAATTACACATGATTTTAATCCATTTGCCCTTGCCTAAAACAAACAAAATTATTCTAACATCCCTGTTGAAATTCATTTTTCATTTTAAGCACATTGATCATGGACAGGTTCTTTCAAGTGAATAGTAATTAGCAAGGCATTCATCAGTTGTCAAGCAAAAAAAAAAAAATCAAGTTATCAAAGTAGAAAAATTGTGGTTTAGAAAGGCAGGTTTTTAAAATAAAAGGAGCATAATATTAAAATTGCTTTTGTAGCCCCATGGTAACCCCATTCCAGGCAACTACCTATCTTAACTTTAGTTTTTCTCATCCATGTTTGCATATTATAAGCAAACATTTGAAATTCAGAATACTAAACCAAAAAAATTACATGATTATAAAACATCATTAAATACAGTAGAAGCTATATTAGGAAATTTACCTAAATTAACTCATTTACCCAACACTCCTCTATGAGACAGAAAGCACCCTCATTTTACATAGTACACAGAAACCAATAAATGGCAGGTGTTCCAAATGACACTTATGCAAGGCTATAATAACAATAAGATAACAACAAAGAGCCAACCTGAAACCATTTGGCATGTCGAAGAGACGCCAAGGCATTTAGGCATTTCTGCCTGTCCAATAAGTCCGGAGGATCTTTCATCGAAACATTTTCTAATGATAAAATGGGATAAAGAGAGACAGATACAATTTGACCAAGGGGTTCCTGTCAAATTACCAAACAACAAAAAAAATTTAAAATAGCAGCATCTGAGTGAACTCCCAGAAAATTTCATGATTTGACTTTGTTACTTTTTTTAAAACTATGTGCACTATGATTATTTAAGTAAACAGTCATTAGAGCAGTTCTGTGTACAAATACAATGAATCATAAAGGAATTCATTCAGTAAACAAATCAATGTCCACTGCTGCTTACAATGTGGGATCTTACTAAGCACGTTTAACATTACAGGGCACAAAATAAGTACACGGCACTTTTTCCTTTGCAAGGGTGCAAAGGGGAAATCTGGGACCAAGAGCAATAATAACTTTTTATAGAAGAAATTTTGATCATTGATCAGCTTTTAAGGAAAACTGGAGCTCTCTTTTGTACTAATCAATTTGAGATCTCAATATAATCAATTTGAGAATACACTCAGTATGGCAAATTTTTTTTTCAACTAAATAAGCTCATTCAACAAGATAAGTGCTAATGTTAATAGAAACTTTACCCCATGAATGAGAAGTCAAGTGTCACCCTGGAGTTCTCTTTATTTTCTAAACCCAAATTATTAAAACTACAAATATAATATACATTGAAATATATTTAAAGTTTATAAACCCTTGTTTTATAAAAGTAGCAAAGAATACTATCTAATTATGGCTATTCAGCTTGCCTTAACATTTTAAAGTTGGATTAGATGGCCCAAAGAAGCAAAATTAAAAATTCAAACGTGATTAATGACAAATAGCCATATTTGAGAAGATGTCACATGATACTAAATCCAAGTTTAGACAGCCAAATTTATCTCCTCTAAGCTGCTGGGATGTGAGTTTTTAAATTTTTTGAAGACTTGGTACATTATTTAAATGCATACAACATGCAAATGTTTCCTGGGGAATAATATTTAGTCTAATCCAATTAAGTCAGATTTATCATTCTTTTTATTAAGAACTCTCTTAAATGTGAGCAAGTCCAGCAACACTTTTTTCCCAGTATTATCATGATAGTAATAGACTTGGTAATGGTGTTTGTGTGGGCCAACTGATACAATATAAATATTTTTAAGTGGATGACAAGAGCACTGATATTTTTGGTTTCTTCAGTTATCAGAGGACTCTATTATGGCAAATTCAATGTTTGCTCTAACTGATGAAATGTCATTAACTAAAACTGAAGACATACTGTCCAAAAGAAAACAAAACTATTAAAGGATGAATTATGGTTCTCTTCATTGGCTACAATACTATAAACGCTGAAGTGCTACGTGCTTATTTTCTGACCAGGTGAGCTCTACAGCAGGTATTTGCATTGCTTCGCATTAATCTCTGCTAACAAAATCACAACACATGGTCTTATTACCCCCTTTTACTCATAAATTGAGGAGGCTCAAAAAGGACTATTAACCTGGACTTATTTATAAGCATAAACAAATATACTATGGGTATTCACTAGCTCCTGGACTTGCCCAATTTTGTCTTTACAGTGATGCAAAATATACAACTAACCTGTTTTAATGTCAAAATGTTTAACCGTGGTTAATACAAGCATCTGTGTGCTATGGTCACGTACCAGATAAAACAAACTATTGTAAATGAATTAGAATCTCTCAAAAGTTAGACATAAGAAAGGTTGACTGACTACTAAGTAATATAATCAAAATAAAAGGTATGGCCGATGCTTATATTTTAAGACTTCAATTTTTAAATTAACAGTAAGGCAAGCTAAGTTTTATTCTATCATCTTAGCAAGTAAGGATGTCAGGAAGAGGGAGACAATGGAAGAGGGAAGTGAGGCAGAGGAAGTTTGGATAGGAAAAGACATGGCAAGCCAAAATTCTTTTTGTACTCTCTAACACTTTCTTCCAGGGGTCAGAGCTTGTAAATAACATCTTACTATGATTGTGACACAGACATTTTTAATGGGGACCAATGACAAAAATAATTTGATAAACTTTCATCCCAAAGGCAGATTATAACCACAAATTCTTATAATGAAAAAAAATCGAGACATCAGCTTGCTACACAGTCAACATTTGAAGACAATAGACTCTACTAAAAAGAGATGAAAGGGACAGGCACTGAACAGAAGACTTGCACCGAATTCTCTTTTATATCACCATCAGAATGGCCATGTTACTTCATGCTCTGACAGAAAGTCAAAAGATCCAAAATGTTTCAATATTCACAAGGTAGGAATATTGAATTCATCTCATTTTATCTTCTTCAAAGTTTTCTATATTAAAACAACATAAATTCATATGGTAGTACAGCACTACTTATAAGCCCAGCTTGCTTATTTCCTTAATATAATTGATAATATACAGTTTTATATATTTTCATTCATTAAAAAAATAACTTCATTTAATGTGGCAATGAAGGAACCGCTGCTGGAAAAACACTGCTACTTCTGGTAGCAGAAACTCAAATTTAATATTTCTAAAGTTAAATGTAGGTGTTTCAATTTCATGGAGAAGCAAACTTTTCTGATTCTAAAAAAAGAGACATTTGGAGGTCTTTTTTTTTTTGGAGACATGTCTTGCTCTGTTGCCCAGGCTAGAGTGCCATGGCATCATCATACCTCACTGCAACCTCCAACTCCTGGGCTCAAGCAATCCTCCTGCCTCAGCCACCCCATCCCACCCCAGAAGCTGGGACCACGGGTGTGCAGAACCACGCCAGGCTAATCTTTCTATTTTTTGTAGAGATGGGGTCTCACTCTCACTCAGGCTGGTCTTGCACTCCAGGCCTCAAAGAAATCCTTCCACCTTGGCCTCCCAGAGTGTTAGGATTACTGGCGTAAGCCACTGCACCCAGCCTTCTTGGAGTTCTTAATTAGAAACAACAGAACTGTGAGCCATTTCATTTTCTCCTGGAGTGATCAGTGAAACAGATAAAAACATGGAGGCAGGGGTAGGGGATAAGGGTGACGAAAATGGCAAAAGCAAAGAAAAACAGCTTTTTTCCATTTTATTACTCAGTAACCTGGCATCAGGGCATGAAGATACATACAGCATTCTGAACAATGGAAGCACTGGAAAGAAGTCTATTATGATTAACCATGTTTATTTGGTTAGAGGTTAGATCAGTGACCAAATCACACCATACTACACGAAATGTTGGTCAGTTTCTCTCAATGCCTTACATGCAAGCTAACTCTCTGCCCCTGTTAACAAAAATACTAGCTTGGAGATGGGGCCAACAAAAAGCCAAAACATGACTATGTTAAATAGGAGTTACATGTCTGGAACCTGGGCTCTTCAAAGGTAAAATAATTAAGCTCAGTATCATGAGGGGCTCCTTGATAATCTAGACATGAAGATGAGAGCCACTGAGTTCATTCTGACAGAATTTTCTAGTTAGCCTGGGAATATCCTGGCACCCCCTTCTCTCTCAATTCCTTGAAGCTTTCTGGAGAGAAGATATTATGCCCCAAGCTAATGTCCACTGAAAATATCAGGACACAATAATATGGACAGGTAAATATAGCAATAAGGGAGAATAGAGCACTGTTCTCCTAATTTATGTTAGTAATGTCACTCAGGATGACTTTTCTTCAGTGGCAGATGGCCACTGGAAAGATAATGGCTAAAAGTTTTCTCTGGAGAGTATAGATCTATACTAGGAAAGACAGGAAAATAAAGCCTGCATCATCATTATAATCCCAGTTGTGATCTCTGGACTGTAAGAATCTACTTACTGCCTTGACCCTAGCAAGACACATGCTAGTGAACTTCTACCAAGAAGAGTCACAAGTTCACATTGGCACCAATGTGAAAAGGGACTTTGGGCAACTTCTCTGTGAACCCCTGAAAATCCACTCCAGTACTAAGGAGAGAGGTTTGTCTTAATCTAAGCCACAACAATCTCTGTAATTTCCCTAGCCACCTGGTTTGAGATTATAAATACAATAAACAATTTGTCATCCCCTCAACAACAAATATACTAATTTAAAATTATAAGCACCAAAAGAAGCTGAGACTCTGTGTGATGCTCAAAATGACTAGATTAGCTAAACCACTCATGCACTAATCCCAGACAGTAACAGGAGAGTGGACTGCATACCGGACTTAGAGTCAGAAGACCTGGGTAAAATGTGAGACTTTCCTAGACAATATGCTGACTATGTAAATTCATTTAACAGATTTATGGGAGGGGGTTGATTGTCTACTATGTATTAGGTATCATTCTAGGTGCTAAGGATAATAGATAGAGAAAAAGATACCTGCTCTCAATGAATCATAAGCTATAAAATACACTAGCTTTATATTATTAGCACTGTATAAATACAGTATACTGATTCCAATACTACAGAGGGTATTTAAGAGTTTAACTGTGTTTAGGTTCAGTTCTTCAGACCTATCATGCACATATTATTTTCACTGTTAACTGAAGGCAGTTTGAGTAGGTGGGTTTGTGCTGTGAATCTTTAATAAGCTGAGCGACTACTACTATTTACTGAGCAACCACTCTGTGCTAGTTACTGTACAAGTCACATTACATAAATTCTCTCATTTAACCTCAAAACAACTTTTTGACGTATTTTTTATCCACACTTAAAAATGAAGAAACTATTCAAGGTCACACAGCAACAGTAACTAATAGAGTTAAGAATCAAACACAAGGCTACTGCACACCAAGGTCTGTGCTTTTTCTCCTATGCCTTCATTAGCAGGAAACATGTAGCAATGGGAAAATGGTTATTCTCCAAGGCCTTTAAGTAAAAGATTAGAATATAGAAGGAGAACTAACAGCATAGGAGGAAACTTACATGTGAAATAGTAAATAATATCAAAGAGATTCACTATGTGCTCTGGCAATTTAAAAGCTAAATTGTGATCTGAAATGAGTTAGATCCACTTCTGCACAGACAACCCTGAGAAGATATGTTTGAGGCTCTAACTTGGCCCAGTCCTCTGGTTCTGCCTACTCTCAGCTATGCTTTTTTCTCTTTTCTTAGATTTTACCCAAGTATATGGAAAGTAAGAAAGGGAAGAGAAATACATGAGATATGTATGTATTGTGAATAGTTTGTTTGGAGGGGGTGAAGGAAGTTGAGATTCTATAGGAAAAATGTCTCTAAGAGAAAAGTTGTAATGGCTATTTTTTTTAACTCTGAGAAAGAAAATGAATAGCAATTGAAAAAAAGCGATATTTTTCAGTCCCAGAAATCCCTGGAACCTGAATGAATCTTGTACTTCCATCCCATGTAGTGGAAAAGAATTGTATCAAGGGGATGAGGAGATGTACAGTGTGAGAAAACAGAATTGTATAGCCCAGGTCCCATAATGCTCAAGTATATACTAAATCCTCCAAGATGTCCAGGAATACACAAACGGCTAGCAAAAAACAAAAATCTGTCTTTGACAAAGCCCAGGTTAGACAAAATGAGCATATTATAAAAGATAATCAAGTGAGTCAACAAGGCTGGAATGTTAAGGACAAGAGCAAAGCAAATCTTTCTGCCATTCAAAAGGAGAGAAAGTAAGATGTGTAAAACATTAGATCCAAGCCGATTCCTTCACCTTACCTGATCCCACATATCAGCTGACGAGATTCAGCTCATAGAGGTCTTTGGATCCTTTAGTAACTCAAACACCTTGAACAGAGACTATGACTCTCTTTATCACAAATTCCACTCTATAATAGTGTTCTAGCAAGGGTACAATACACTAAGAATCTGTTTTTAGCTTCTCCAAACAGAAATTAAAGTTATAAAGGCAACACACTAAGCTTAAAAGTATCTCTGAAAGCTATGACAAAAATCCCACGTAAGATAAAAACCATAGGAAAAAAGAACCCTGATGTTCCCTTAATACTTCCAAAGAAACAATGGAAGGGATGCCGACAGGTACAAGGAAATATAATCAACCTAGTCTTGGACAATACAGTTCAGTCTTTTTCTCATCTCCCTAAACTCAAATAAGTCTTAATAATACTTATAATTACAACTCTACTTAGAAATGGTTGGTTTTATACTAGAGGGTCAAGTAGAACACAGCTTACCAGAATTAACATTTATCTTGACACTTCAGAAATCATTTTATAGTTCTACAGTTAATGGTGAACTGTAAAGCTGTTAAAAAAATTAAGTCATTTAAGATTGGTTCTTCAGAGGTGCTACAGATACTATATACAGCAAAAAATTTTGAAATGTATAGGCATAAACCCAATTATAGATTGGATGCACTTTGATTTTAAAGTATGACTCATAAATGTGTCTGATTTATATCTATTGGGTATGATATAGCTTTAGTTAACCCCAAAAAAAATTTTTAAAAGGAGTCTATCACTTTTACTTTAAGTGATTCTATGAGTCACGTCTAGCAAAAATCAAAATTCTAACTTCACTGGTAAATGTACCTTTTTCTCTACCCTTATCACCAACTTGAAATAAACTAAGAAACTGACCAATATTTCTTACTGCACTGAAATTTCCAGGTAAGGGAGTAAGCAATGGGACCTGTTGAAAGTCTAGTGACAAAAATAACAACAGGGAGTCCCCACTGGCCCACATAGGCCGCACTGCCTCTAAATTTTCATGACAGAGTAGCCAGTTGGTCAAAGGTTTGACACAGGAGAAATATCACATGGCAAGTTTCTGAGTGGCAAAAACAAGCTAACTTGACAGGATAAAAAACATCAGAAAAAGAAGCCCACCACAGCTCCATCATTACTTCTCAAAACTACTGACAACTGAATAGATTTCTCACTCTACTATTATGGGGATGACACTGCCATATGGTAATTCTTTTTAACTTCAGAAGAAAGTTAGTTTAAAGCATGATGCTCAGATAAATCATATTCAAAATGTCAACAGGGTCACAAATCTCCTAAAAAAGATTATTCACTGAAGAAAAAAAAATCCCCCAATTTACAGCCCTTACACTACAAAACAAATCTACACATAGACAACTAAGTAAAGCATAAAACTTACAAGAATATATAGTTATCAGAAGTCACGAACAATAAGCAAGTGAGTAATTTTGAAACAATAAGTGAGTAAATTTGAAAAAAATTCTGTTTTGGACCGCATTCAATCCTAAAATCTGACCATTAAGCCAAAATACACAGAGTAAGTTGGCTGATATCAATAATTTAATGCAAACAGAACACCAAATGGTATAAAAATTAAAGCAAAGTTAAGACCATCATGATAAGCACAGGTTTTTGAATTAAAATATTTTATATTTTGAATTTATACATTTTTATAAAATATACTGATTATATAGAAACAAAGCTATTTAAAATACTATGGGTGGCATAAAGCAAATAAAGACTGTTACTTCCTAAATCCATAAAGCACAGTTAACATAGCATTTAAGAGAGCTTTTACATGAACAAAACACACACACACATATATATATATACACACACACACACACACACACACACACACGTGTACCTCCATCCTTCTTCTCCAATTCGTCTCTAATTAGAGGGGAAGTAAGTATCACCTTCAAAGTTAGCGTGGGCTCTTTTGTATTCCGAATTATAATAGATGCCTCATTTACACACTGTTCCACTTGATATTTCTCTTCTGTGAGTTTCTGAAAGTGACCAAGATTTCAAAAACACCCAGTTAGATTGAAATCTCAAAAAAAAAAAAAAAAATGCTTGCACTAAGTTCTCAAATGTTATTAACTACTAATATTACTGTGCTGAAAGGGCAAACAAAGCCTGTAACTAGTTCTTTAGTTTGGGAATAACACATCTCTCTCCTCCCAACTTACAGGCAAATCCTCATTCTCCATCCTTCAAAAAGCAACCACAACGTCAACCAACCATACAATTATGAAACAATATTTAAAACCATTCTTTCTAATATTTGAAAGTAAAATGACAAGAGCATCATTATGTGATAAATGGAAATTATTGTTCTTGAAATTATTACAGAGAACTATTATAGAATAATAAATAGCTGGAATGCTCTCTAAAACAATAGCTTTTTTGATAGAAAGAACAGCCTAAACAGGAACTCCTACTTGCCAAAGACTCATGAATATAAGCTTATGTAGATTTATAAAGAGAACTGAGTAAGCATGAATGAAAAAGGATGTCTGCATAGTCACTCAACAGCTAAAAAAAAAAAAAAAAAAAGTATAAACTAGTAACTTCTTCCCTTCTCTGACATGACAACAGGTCTCAGAGATCTTTCCGATGAGACTTATTATGGGATGAGTCATCTGACATCCACAGGGAAAACTACATTGCTTCTTTTAACATACAATTATAAACATACAATTCAGGGGCCTTCCAAAAATAAGTACCCAATTAGAATCCTATATTGTTATATTTAATATATTTTTATACATTAAATGTATGATTTAATACGTTACAGAGTCTTTTTTCTTGGTGGTGAAATTTAGTACCTATTTAGTGGAAAAGAATTGTATCAAGGGGATGAGGAGATGTACAGTGTGAGAAAACAGAATTGTATAGCCCAGGTCCCATAATGCTCAAGTATATACTAAATCCTCCAAGATGTCCAGGAATACACAAACGGCTAG